TATTCTCCCATCAACAATAAACTCACTCCTTTCTTGCACATGTTCACGCATTTGGACTCATATATACAGTTGGGTAGCTTCCACAGTAAGGACAGAACATGGTTCTCTTTTTTGTTTGGTTGGAGCCAGGCAGTGGTGGCGCACGCGTTTAATCCCAGCACTCGGGAGGCAGAGGCAGGCGGATCTCTGGGAGTTCGAGGCCAGTCTGGTCTACAAGAGCTAGTTCCAGGACAGGAACCAAAAAGCTACGGAGAAACCCTGTCTCGAAAATCAACAACAACAACAACAACAAAAAACCTTTTTTGTTTGGTTGGTTTTTTGTAAGCTCACAGAGATCTACCTACTTCTGCCTCTGCCTCTTGAGTACTAAGACTTAAAGGCAAGCACCAATTCCTAGCCACCCCCTTTCCTTGTCACTCCCCTCCCCCTGCAATTCCCTTCCTCTGTCACCCCCCACACTTGTGCACCCCTGCTAACATTCTTTACTCTTAAGAATCTTCTCCCGAGTCACGTGTGGTGGTGCATGCCTTTAATCAAGAGGCAGAGACTGGCAAGTTTCTGTGAGTTCAAGGTCAGCATGATCTACACAGTGAGTTCCCGGACAGCCAGGGCTACATAGTGAGATTCTGTATCAAAAAAACCAACCAAACAGAAATCCCCTCTGTTCCCACCCTAGCACCACAGATGTGTGCTCTGGCACTCAAACTGTACATTCTAGATATAATTAAAACAAACAAATCCACAGGTCCCAAAAGGATAGGTCGAATCTGTGCATGTGATACTCATGGGTAAGGAGGGTTCATGATATTTGAAACAGGCAAACTCAGCTGTGTCCAGAGGCAGGAGAGGGAGGCAGGGAGGATATGGTCATCTTGACCTTGGAGAGGCTCTAAGGATGCCTAGTTGTCAGACAACAGAGCCTATGCATCATGTAGGAGGCCCTTCTGTATTTGTGTTGCTTTCATTGGTTGAATAAAGAAACTGCCTTGGCCTTTTGATAGGGCAGTACCTAGATAGGCAGGAAGACAGAACTGAAGTCTGGGAGGAAGGAGGCAGACAGGGAGAGCTGCCATGGAGTTGCCAGAGTCAGACATACTGAATCTTTCCCAGTAAGCCGTGACCTTGTGGTGACATACAGATTATTAGAAATGGGTTAAATCAAGATGTGAGAGTTAGCCAATAAGAGGCTAGAACTAATGGGTCAGGCAGTAATTTAATTAATACAATTTCTGTGTGGTTATTTCTGGGTTAAGCTAGCCGGGCCGTAGGACGTGTTTCACAGAGGAGCTTTTGGCCTCAACAGTGGTGTTTATACTCAATACTCTCATTCTCTTCCCCTGTCTGGTAAATCTTCTACATAGGAGAAGATGTCACCAATCAAGATGTATTTGGGAGCCTGGGAGATGTTGCAGCAGGTAAGAGCTTGCTATATAAGCTTATGAACTCTCATTGGAAAGTTGGTTCAGAGGTGCATAGCATTTAGCTATGCCCTCTCCCTTAGCCCTTTATAACAGGCTGGTAGCCAAAGACAGTACAATCTTTTTACCTACAGTCTATCCAAGAGAGGACATTGGGTGGAATGTGTGTACCAATGATGGGTAAGGTTAAAAGATTTAAAAGAACAACCTAAGACAGACACAATCATCCGTCCTGTAGCAGAAGCACAGGCTTCATTAAAACAAATAAAAAGATAGGATCTGTGGGAGCCCATAGAAGTGGCTGCACTCCATCTTGACTTAGGGTTAGAGAGTTCAAGCTTGTTTTGCTCCTTTAAGTTCCAACAACAGACCTAAGGTGAAGCATCTTGCCTAGATAACAGGATGTTTGGCCAAAGGTGAGCTACTGGATATTTTGCTCCTCAATGTTTTGAACTCCTGTTTGCTCCTTGTTTCAGGATAAAAAAAGGTCTTTTTGACCCTCCTTTTGGCTTAGGGTATAAAAGGGCTATGAAAAATAAACTGGAGGCTGCAGTAGTCACCGACAGTCCCCCCAAATCTATCCTGTTTATTTCTTTTGTATTTCTGTTATTTCTACCTGCAATTTCTCAATCCACATGCCTCCTTCCAAGCAAGAATGAGCAAGCCAGGAGGGATCCAGCAGCAGACATCCTTGCCCGGACACAGGCTACGACAGCCCAGGTAAACCTTCTACATAGGAGAAGATGTCACTGATCAAGATGTATCTGGGAGCCTGGGAGATGTTGCAGCAGGTAAGAGCTTGCAATACAAGTTGGATGACCTGAGCTTCTGGAATACACATGATGGAAGGAGAGAACCGACTTAAGCTGTCATCTGATAGCTACAGGTTCAGTGCTGTGGCACGTGACCTTCCTGCCCCTGACGATGATGATGCAGAAAATAAAAATTCAAGATCTTTTTGGGGCAGCTGGGTTGCTGCAAACCCCAAAATCCAGAAGGCTAAGGCAAGATGTTCATGAACTTAAGGCCAGCCTGAGCTATATAGTGAGACCCTGTCTCAAAAGACAAGAAAGAGAAAAAGAGAAAGGAAAAAGATCCATTCCTTCAACAGAACCATGGCCTTTGAGAGGACTAAAGCCGTTCACCAACCAAATACACAGTGTACACATCCTGTGTACAGAGCATAGAGGTCTGATACACACACACACAATTCCAGTCTCTCCTCTGCCAGCTGCAGACAGTCGACCAGAAAGCAGATAAGGACATGACCTACAAAGACTCGGTTACAGGCACTGGGTCACACATGTAAGTAAGTGTCGGGGTCAGGAGGAGGAAGGCAGTGAGCTAGGGAGAGATGTTCAAACTCGTTCCCTGGGCTATGGGAAGCCTCTGTCCCTGCACTGCCTGTAGCATCATAGCTGACAGTTCCAGGCTTCCTGCCTCCAGTGTCTGTGACAGCAGTAGCTATTCTGGTTTCCATCTCCCTGTTTATAAAAATAAAGTGCTTGAGAAATGTCTCCCAAGTGTCCTCCATGTACTGGATGCTTCGTCATGGTGTTTTCCCGGTGCAGAGGCTCTACTGGCCCAGTTCTTTCTGTCTACCTCTCAGAGCTCCTCAGGGCACTCGGCGTCCCCTGGGCTCGCCCTCTAGAGGGCGTCTGTGGCGCTGCAGGGGCCGGGCTCTTCGGGGAGAATTGATGCTGCAGACCAAGTCAACATAGTCACGTGGTAAAGCCAACTTTAATTACCACTTTCCCTTAGTGAAAATCAAGGATCAAGAACACGTTCTCACAGTCCTTCCCACGCTCGCAGGGCATGGCTTCACGAACGGTGCAGTTGTAGCTTGAAGAGCCACTGGGTTATTTTAAAATTGGATTCTATTTTATACTCCCTACCACTCAGTTTCTTTTAGGTCCCAGGAGACCCATTTGTTGATCCAGTAATCATCTTGAAGAGCTGACAAGTGGAGGTTATAAAGTATAACATATGTCTGTAGTTATTTTATTTTATTTTTTTTTTTAGTTTTTCAAGGCAGGGTTTCTCTTTGTAGCTTTGGATACCGTCCTGAAACTCGCTCTGTAGACCAGGCTGACCTCGAACTCACAGAGGTCCGCCTGCCTCTGCCTCCCGAATGCTGGGATTAAAGGCGTGCGCCACCACCGCCCGGTCTCTAGTTATTTTATTAAAACAATTTTTTTGTGTTGTTAGATAATATCTGCAACGCGATAGAGCACTGCAAAGTCACTAAGGGTTTTGGCTGTACACAGTGTCCATAGTGCCAATCACAATCCCAGAAGTTGGAAATAGCCCAGATGTCATCACTGACGAGTGGCTATACCAATCAGTGAGATGGCTCAGTGAGGAAAGGACCTTGCTGCCAAGCCTGAGCACCCAAGCTCCATCCTGACCCCTGGGGCTATCCTCTCCTGACCTCTACAGGCACACAGTGACTCCAGTACCCACCTCCTTCCTCAAACAGATTTTCTCCACACAATGGAGCATTGCATAGCCCTAGAAAAGAACGAAGAACGAATACAGTCTAAAATATAAATGGGCCTTGAGGACATGCTAAGTGAAGGCTGTAGGCTATATTGTTATTTTTCTATGTAATATGGAGAAGAGGCAAGTTCATAGAGATGTAAAGCAAGGTTAGTGGTAGCCAGGGGCTAGGAGTAGCGTGGGACAGGAAATGGTTCTTCATGAATATGGGGGTCTCCTTTGGAGTGAAGCAATGCGGGTATGGATTGTAACGCAGGGATCTCTGATACTCTCTTCTCAGTTCACACTTTTTGCTTCAGATTTATTTTCATTTTATGTGTACAAGTGTTTTGCCTGCATGTATGCATGTGCACCATGTGTGTGCAGTGCTCATGGAGGCCAGAGAGGGTGTTAATCCTTGCTGGATTAACACGAGTTACAGACAGTTGTGAGCCACCATATGGGTGTTGGGAATTGAACTGGGGTCCTCTGAAAGAGTAGTCAGTGCTCTTAACTGCTGAGCCATCTCTCCAGACCCCAGCCTGGACTGCTTTGGCCACATGTTCCCATCTGCTGAGAGAGTACACAATAGAGAGGCCATGTAAGTGTGCAGTATGTGGGTGGTGGGGTGGCTGGTGGTGGCGGTGGGTCGAGCCCATTGGGAAATAGTTCTACTCCCCGACAACCCACAGGACTATGTGCTGGTGAGGATAATTTCAGTGATCTATCTGACTTCTGGAAAGTTCTTCATCAAGCTTTGTAGCTAGAGATCAGGACAGTGATTTTTTTTTTATTTTACTTTTTATTTTGTTAGTTATTTTGGCTTGCCCTGAAGGGTTTTTAATTCCAGTAAAAAGGCTTAACCTTGAACATAAAACACACTTTAGATTTGCGCTTGGGAATCTCTCAAGCGAAGATCTCCCTTGTTGGATCCTCCGAGGAGCCTCTGTGCTTGTCACATCCTGCGCTTGTGGGGTGTTTTGCAACAGCATAAACATCACGGCAGAACAGGAAGTAGGCTTTTAATCTTTGGTCTGAAATCAAGTGTTTCAGAAAATGAGAAGGCTCCAGCTGGAGGAAGGCTTAATGTGACACAAGTCGCAACAGGAAGCTAGGTGACTCGGCTTCGCCGCTCCTGTCACGACGCTTGGGCAGGCTCATCCATTCGCCCATCCGGTAAGCACCTGTTCTGCGCGTGGCCTCAGTCACCACCCACAACAGCTAGTAGTTGGGCTTTTGCATTTCTTGCTAAGATGGCAGCTCTGAAAGTGTGATGGGGGGGGGGGGGGCTGCAGGGTCTCTGAGGCCCTTCCAAGGAGTCTCTGGGGTTAAGACTGTTCTCATAATAGCCCTCCCTCTCACCCGGTTGGTGTGCTGTGGAGTTTTCAGGAGGCTGCATGACACATGCGCACTTACCCGAAGGGGCTATTAAGATATTCCTCCTCTTCAATTACAGATCTGGGGGAAGCTGCCTCTTCCCCGTGTACCCCAGCCAGACCACATATGGAAACCCTGGTGCGCAGATTCCAGCTGCCTTCTAGAGAGCTAGATCATTGAGGTTATTTTAAGATATTTATTTTATTTTTAGTTATGTGTGTGCGTGCGTGTGTGTGCATGCATGCGATTGCATGTGCCTGAGGAGACCAGAGGCATCACAATCCTCTGGAGCTGGAGTTACTGGCAGTTTTAAATTGCTGGGAACAGAATCCAGGTCCTCTGTAAAAGCAGTATGTACTCTTAACTGCTGAGCTGTCTCTCTCTCTAACCCCAGACAATAGAGATTTATGAAATATATGACAGCATTCCTTTCCCTAAACTTAGTGTAGAATTTCTTTTCATAAAATATGTTGTGAATATGTTTTTATATCAGCTGGTTTTTTTCCAGTTCTCTTTGTGTGTATGCGAGTTCATTCACGTGTGTGCAAGTGTGCATCTACAGCTGTTATTCCTCAGGCACCATCGCTTTTAAAAAAATGTAAAGTACATTTATTTATTAGACTGAAAGGAACATACAGTGCCATTGAGCTGAGCCAAAAGGCCCGAGAGAATCAATGCATGCATTTGTTTCTTTATTTTGATTTACTGTATGTGTCTCTGTGTATGTGTCTTCACAGGCCGTCGCATGTGTATGGAGGTGAGAGGACAAACTGAGGAGTTGGTTCTCTCTCCCCACCGTGTGTGTCCTGGGAAACAAACTAAGTCATCAGTTAGAGGGGGAAGCACCCCTACCCGTGAGCCATCTTGCAGGCTCTCTAGTTATGTTTGTGTGTGTGTGTGTATGATGTGTGTAGGAAGTGCAGGCATGCAAGTGTGTCATAATACACATGTGGAGGTCCGAGAACAACTTTCGAAAATCAGCTCTCTCTTTCCATGATGGATTCCAGAGATTGAACTCAAGTCATCAGACTTGTGTGGCAAGCACTTTTACCTGCTAAGCCGCCTCACTGCCCCCCACTCCCCACCGCAGTCTTTTTACAACAGGGTCTCCCCCTGGTCTGGAACTTGCAGCATAGCCTAGGCTGCCTGGCCAGCAAGCTCCAGGAGTCTGCTAGCTTCTGCTTCCTTAGCACTAGGATTACAGACTTACTCCACTTTATTCTGCCATACTTGACTTTTTAAAATGTGAGTTGTGAAGATCGAACGCTTCACTGACTGAGCCATCTCAGAAGCCCTCCATTTTTAATTCCTAAGATGTTGTCAATATGTTAAAGTTTTCAAAGCTCGTCGGTTTGAGTTGCGCTCACCTACCCCTAACAAACCAGAGTCACTTCTGCCAAAGTTACATCATCAAGACAAAAGAGTGTATCCCCAGATAGGGCAGAGGGCTGTTTCTTCCCAAAGAGCAGTGTCAGTGTCCACGCTAAGTCCCCTGGCTTTAACCTGCACAGGGAAAGTGACTTTCAAAGGTCCAGTGTCCTTTCAGTTCCCTTTTCTGTTCCAGGGCCATTTCCTGTCTGGAAGCCAGCCTCCTCGGCTCTCTTAAGGAAATGTTTGGTTGGTTGTGTTTGTTAGAATACAGTGCTGCCCGAATGGAGACTCACAAATAAAAGTCAGAACAGATCTGCAAACTTGCTGCGACTGTGTGATTGCATTTTTTAACAAATAGAGCAAAAGATCTTTGGACCTCTTTTTTTTTTTTCAGGTGTGGTCTTAGTGTGCAGCTCAGGCTGTGCTTGAACTTGTGATTTTTTTTTTTAAATCTCAGCCTCACACTTTTATCTCAGCACACGCTTTTAGTTCCAGCACTCAGAAGGCAGAGGCAGACGGATCTCTGTGAGTTCAAGGACAGCCTGGTCTTCATAGCAAGTTCCAGGACAGCCAGGGCTGCATAGTCCAAACTTCTATCTCAAAAATACTAAGCAACCAAACAAAAACAATGAAATTAGTAAAGTCACTGATAAAGTTCACTGATGTGAAAGACGCCATTGACATACAACTCTCTAACCCAGAACAACTAAATTAGGCAATGGATATTTCAACACTAAAAGGAATTAAATTTGATGACTCAGCCCCAGTGTGCTCTGAAGCAGCCGTCTAGATAGAGGCCATCAACCACACCTCAGCTGAACTCCAGTGGAACCGACCGTCCTCTGTGTCTGAAGGGAAGAGGGCACAGTGCCAGGACCACCTCGTATGCTGGGTGTTTCCCTTTCTGCACCTCAGTCTGTGTGCCCCTGCCGACTCCGCTGCCTGTGTCAAGAGCTGGCTTTGGAGGGAGACCGTGCACCTCTGAGAGAGAGATGACGAGCCCCAGCAGGTCTTCACAGGATAAAGACGTGTAACTGTCAGAAGCAGGAGACAGTCAATGATCTGAAATGGACTGTCCGATGTGGGACACATAAGTCACAGTTGTGTCCTGAAAAATACCCGAGAGCGGCCTAACCCAGAGAGGTGCATATTGACAACCTCGGGGTGCAGAAAGGGAAGGAGCAAGAAAAATCAACCGCTGTGATTAGTTGTTAAAATCTGTGCCACAGATGTTATACCAACTTCACAGAAGGGGAAATTGAGGCCCAGAAGGCAGTATAATACTATGACCTTTGGAGGAAATCTGATTTATTTATTTTTGAGATAGGAGTCTCATATACCCTAGGCTAGCCTTGCTACGTAGCCACAGATGACCTTTGAACTTTTGGGTCTCCTGGTTCCACTTCCTGGGTGCTAGGATTACTGGTGTGTATACTACATACTGTATGTATGCAGTTCCAGGAAGTGAACCGGGTCTTCCTGTGTGTTAGGCAAGCACTCTGCCAACTGAACTGCAGCCTCAGGTGCAGATCTGAGCCCTGTCACTGGCAGCAGCCTCTAGTGTTGGCATAATTTGGGGTAACTGTTTATCCTCCTGACCCTCTGACGCCTCACCTGTGAATTGGACATCACAACGCCCACTTCGCAGTCTGTGAAGATTAACTACAAATAAAACCACGTCCAGAACAAGCTTCTGGCACACAGGAGCAGGCACAGGCTGGATGTGACTTCCTCTCCCTGGCTCTAACCCTGGCTACAGGTCATCCAGCTCAGCCTCGTTCTCTCATCCCAGGACTCCTTGGGTCACTCTGTCCAGGAATCAGCAGCCTGAAATCCTCCTGCTTTTGGGGAGACCACAGACCCCCTAATCCTTACCACATAAAAAGGTGACCTTCGTGGTCCTGTCCAGTCCTAACCCCTTGCATAAGCTTCACCCTCCCCAGGATGTGTCTCCGAGAAGCCCTGACTCAGCGTCGCCTCCTGCTGGCCGCGTTTCCCCAGGCAGGCCTGCCATCACACTTTAGTACCAATGTGCTGTGTGCTGCTGTCCTGGTCTGGGGCTCCTGTTTAGAATCCCAGGAGGCCAGGCTGGGTGGGCCTCATTCAGGGGACTTTTTCTTGATTCCCCATGAAGGATGTCCCAGTTTTCCTTGTACCCTTCAGCAATTTCTCTTGTCTCTCCTCCACTAGTTCGGCCTTGTTACTTCAGGGCAATTCCTCAGGGGATTCCCTGCTTTGCGTAGATCAGCTGTGTTGGGTAGGAGAGGAGGAGAGAAACTTCTGGACTCCACACCCTCCTACCCAGCTTTCAGAAGGAAGAATGGACTGATACGTGGAGCTTTTTGGGTTCCTTCTCTTCAGTTTCTCCATTGGTCCCACCTCAGAGGCAAGAGGAATGTTGGGACATTTTAAGGGCAGAAACTCTTTGTTTTTTTCTTTCTTTTGTAAACGGAACAATTGACTGGTGTTTAACACACATACACATAAACACACACACACACACACACACACACACACACAGACAAGACTGTGGCTGTGAGAAACCAACATGGGCCCACAGAACAAGAGCTACAAGAGTTAGCTGGGCCGTGGTGTGCACGTCTTTAATCCCAGCACTTGGGAGGTAGAGGCAGGTGGATCTCTGTGAGTTTGAGGCCAGTAACCTGGTCTACAGAGTGAATTCCAGGATGGGTAGGGTTAGACAGAGAAACCCTGTCTCAAAACAAAACAGCAAATAACTTATAGGGATTAAGAAGGGAAACCCCAGTCTCCCAGAAGGGGCCCTGCACTGTGAGCTCCTCCTCTTAGACCTGGGAGAACTCACTGGGCTGCCACTGAGGAGCCTTGGCCCTTACGTGAAGAGCTGTTCAGTCCTCTGCTTGTTTGATAGGACTTGGTGCTGTTCAATTAGACTTGATTTATTTAACAACTGAGGTCAGGTGATGGGTAAAGCTGTTGATGGCCAACTCCCCAGAAAACAGGTTCCTTAGTAACATAACTCCAAAAATAGAACCTAATTAACCAGTATTTAGATTGGGGCAAGAAACTGGGCCTGTACAATTGCATGGGCCTGCAATCCCAGTTACTCAGGAGGACATCAAGTTCAAGGCCATCTTGGCCTATGAAGTAACTTCAATACCAGCTCGGATAACTTATTGAGATCCTGTTTCACAATCAAAACTCAAAGGGCTCTATAGGAAATGGGGAGATGGCCTGTTGGGTTAACATGAAGGTTTGATTTCAATGCTCAGTGTCCATGTACAAAAGCTGGGGCTGAGTCGCGCTTCTGTAATCCTAGCACCACGTAGGTAGAGACAGGAAGATCCGTGGACTTGCCGGCCAGCTAGTACAGCTGGATTTGTGAGTCCCATGGTCAGGGAGCGACCCTGTCTCAAAAACGTAAGTCAGAGAGCAATTGAGGAAGACAC